GACTACACATTTGTACGAACGAGAGAGGCTGGGAATTTTAAATTTAAAAAATCACGAAAACGTTCCCCACTTTGTCACTGTCTCACTCACTCACACACACACACACACACACACACACACACACACACACACACACACACACACACACACACACACACACACAGAGAGTTTAAACCGTTATGTATACGGCTATCATCAGTCTATAAGTGTCTGTCTCGGAACATTGTTTTAAATTTATTTTCAATGTCAGTCCTCCTCTCGTTGACGCCTTGTTAATGAGAATGGGTTTGTGTTTGGGTGGGGGTGTAAAGTATCTTATTCTGGGGAAGCGGTCTGGGACTTGCTTGTAGTTTAAGTTCTTACTATGTGGTGACCAGGACTTGTCGCTTGTGGTTTAATATCAGTTCCTATTATGTGGTTTTTCTTATAAAAAGCTCCGGAGTGTCTTTTTCTGTGATTCACAGTAAATATTTTTTTTTTTATTACAGCTGTCCAATATTATTAATAATATTAATAATAAATGATGGGGATTTAAACTTAAGCTCGTTAAGATTAATGTAAATTAGTTGAGTTATAGATTTATAGATTGTGGGTAATACCGGAGCACCCAATGGAATAAATCATGCTGCCCAACATATATGCATACATATCTTCATACATACATACATACATACATATATGTACATTTACATGTTCATGCATATATGCCATTATATATACACATATATCCCCACATATATATGTACATTCTTATATTGTATTCTCATGTAATTAGGAATTTATTTTTAAGTCTACATTTCGTGATTAGTTCTCTCTGTTGATTTAATAGTTTGCATTGTTCTTTATATTTTATTTTCCTGATTTTTTTCTTCTAAACATAACATGCACCTATCTCTAAAACTATTGGGGATGTTCGCGAAACCTAGAATTTTCCAGTTTATTTGAAGATTCAGACCCTTTTCCTTCAATTACCAAAAGTTTTTCGAAAAAAGCTGTTTGGGGTTTTAATTTTTTGAATGTCTATGTGTATTGATTCTCTTTTAAATTATCTTGCAGAAATGCTGATATAAATATTATGGTTTGTCGTATTTTCTTTAGGGGTAATGGTTGCCTCTACTGGGCAGTTTTCCTTAATTCTACAATTACAGGTGGTTTCTATGTTAAAATTGTTTTTTCCCATGGAATTTACTTAGAATGTGATTGTTATGGGAATTAATAATTTGGTACATATTATCAGTGCAGGAGTAGCTAATTTTGACTGATTTCCTGTTGAATATCTTATTTAGAGGATTGTCTTTGTTGAAGTGTTTAGTAATTAAGTTTAGGAAGTACTGTCCGATGTTGATACTTGCCAGTTTGAAGAAGGCGGGGTGGGTTGTGGACCAAGTAATTTCTCTTTTCCTATTTTTACATCTACATTCCACTTTTCGTGTATCGGAATTACTAATGGTGGTTGCGTAAGACAGTTTACCACTTTTCGTATATTTTTTTTATTCTTATTAAAGATTTTTTTTATTGGACCATAGTTTACTAATCCTGGTGCAAACGGTAGTGGGTATTTGTCTTAGGATTGCACTGGGGTGGTTAGAACCGATATTAATATAGTTGGGGGAGTTTCATTCTCTTTATGGTAAGGCTTAATGGTTTCATCATTAAGGTTAAGGGTAATATCTAGGTAGTCGACTATTTTAGGTTTAGAGGAAATCTCGATCTTAAACCCCAGGAATTTGAAAGTCCTGATAATTTTCTTTTGTAATTTCGCTGTTAGTTAACCATTACTATTAGGGATGAGGATGTCTGCCATCCCGATACAGGCCTATTAGTTCCGGTTTTACGATTCTACTAAGCACATCTAAAATGTAAAAACATGCTAGGTCTGCAACTTGGGCTGAGTCATACGCTCCCATGGGGACATCGAATTCGTCATTGTGGTGCTTAGTCCAGGTGGAATTATTCAGTGTTAGTAATGACTTTCTCACTGTTAAGATGATATTAGTTTCATCATCCGTTATTTTTATATAGTTCTTTGTAAAGTTGATATTATTGACCAGGAGGTCCCCAGTGATAAAGGAATAGAAATCAGTTATATCAAACTTAATGAATGTCGCTTTATCCTTATTTCTCATGTTAGTGAATCATTTAATAGTGTTAGACAAATCCTTCCAAAGATTAGTACTGGTTGTGATTAGTAAATTGTTGGTTATTTTTTTAATTATATTTTGTGAGATAAGGCCTAGTTCTATTTTTGTTGGATTTATTAGTCTATATTTTGTACTGTTGGTGAAGTTCTGTTTATGGTTCTTAAATAAAATGTAGGCATCGTTAATGTGGATCTATTTCGGACATCCTTCTATTGTGTTTATCTAGTTTGTGTGTTTCCGTTATTTTGTCTATGAGGATTTTGTGGTAGTGTGAGGGATTACATTTATAGATATTTTTTGATTTATCGGATCTTACCTAAATGTCCCTGGAGTTTCTAATCGTCTTTATATCCTTGTGCAGTTCTTTTTGGAAGTGATCGGATCGCTTGTTGAACTTCATTTTTTTTAACTATATCAGGCAAGTTCCTTTCGAAAGGATCCGGGAATTTACAGGATGGTAGAGTTTTTTGGGTCTTTAGGTTCAAGGTTTCCTGTTTGTAAATTGTTGTCTCCGGGGGGGGGGGGTTTAAGGTAGAAAAAAAACTTGGAGACTAATGATAGCCGTATACAGAAGGGCTTGAAATAGACTATATCTATGTTGAGGTAATTTTTGATTTTTTACTGTAAAAAAATACATATGCTCTGTTAAAATAGAAACATTGAGCTCTCTGTAGATCAGTTTTAATAATTAATATTACTAGGATTCACTCTGATTATATACCGACGGATCGATTACCTGTATATATATATATATATATATATATATATATATATATATATATATATATATACGCAAGCATGTTTGGTTAAATAATTTAGACGTATTATGACTATTTATTTTAATCTTAATCCTTTCAAGTCCACAGATTAATTTCTTGGTACTGTAGAAAATTGATTAAGAAAAATTAAATAATTTTCTCTCAAATAATTTTTATTTTCCCAAGTACTTTCAATCTCTTCCGAGATTATCTTCAGCGGTTAAGTGTTTGTAGATATGTGTGCATGTACACCGCAATATATATATATATGTATGGAGAGAGAGAGAGAGAGAGAGAGAGAGAGAGAGAGAGAGAGAGAGAGAGAGAGAGATGTGTTTGTGTGTGCAAGGTGCGCCACACATTTGAGAACACGGGCTTTACATTAAAGGCGACCTAACGTGGCATAAGCTAAATTTTAGCATAACCATTTTTCTTTCAGACTGATCAAGAGCATTAACATGGTAGATTCTAATCTGTCACAGGAAATGAAATGACAACCCCGTGTTTGTGGCAACAACTAAGAGATAATCTTGAAATTAGTCAGCTGAAGAGAAAGAACGACAGCTGGACCTTTATGGACCCGACGGAGGTATTCATGGGGTACACCCTGGTGGTCGTACACGACGAGGGTCATGTCATGCACTTCACTCAACTTGTTTATATGAGTTTTAATGCTCTTCTTGAACTGACGTGTTCTGTTTTAGTTTTAGGGGCGTTTGTATTTTCCTCTGAATAAACGTTCGTTCGTTATGCGCCTCAATCCACTCTAATCACCTTTAAATATCTGTAATATAAATTCTAGAGCCATTTCTCTGTATTTCTTTTCTATCCTTCTTCACAACATCACGAGTATCTATTTTAACCTCTAGGAGAAGGCAAAGGTCAAATTTGGTAGAGCCTCCGATTCATGACAAAATCTCTTCAGTAAATGCTCGTGATTTCTGTTAACTCATCAACCTTGTGACGACGATAGAACAGAATTGCTTCCTGAATGTTTTCAGCATTTTCATTTGTTCGATTGGTTGAAAGACATCAAGGACATGTCTAAACTTCGATTGACACGTCACCCGTTTTGAAATGTGAAAATCATTAGTAGACTTTAATTTCATTTTTTGTGGTTTTCTTGTCCACAATTTAATATTTTAAAATTCAGCCAGGCAATGTCACAGTTTCAGAAGCGATATATATAAATAGAAAAAATTCAAACAATTTTTATTACTCTTTATAATTTATCATCGTACAAGTTATCAGCACGATGCTTGGATATATATATATATATATATATATATATATATATATATATATATATGAACAGCCAGAAAAAAACATACATATCATATTAGATGCATAACGCGTCTTCTTCTATGTGTCGCTTTCCTTCAGGAAATAGACGATCATGGTTCATTGTTTACATTATTCGGACTATTGCCCTCATCTTTGTCGCCATATTTATCACAACGTTTCGGCCGTTGTACGCTCCAGCCTTCTTCAGGTGGTTGGAATGTCGAACTGAACCCTTTATTTCCCTCACTGGGGTAGACTGTTCTAGTTCCACGTGACATGTTTAATGGATGTCAGTTATCAGTTATCTCCTGTTAGTTTCCTCTGAAAGTTCTCCACTGCCTTAGCCGGGTATTGAACTCCACACATGGCACAGTTAGTTAAATCCAATGACAGGACCCAAAGAGTGTGAGTTCAATACCCGTCTAAGGCAGTACATAATACCTCATCTCAGAAATATAGACAACTTCCTATATCGTGTGGCAGAATTATGCAGCAAGCTGCAGGTCTAGGGTTCCTCGTGGTACATACAATAAGACTTGTTTTTTGGGCCACCTCCACACTCGAGAAAGAGTAGTCAATTTCATTAACTGGCAGATCTTTAATATATATTAATTACATTTCTAGTGAACAATGACCGACCACGACTAAAAGTTTCATACGTTTTCACGCAATCATCAGGGGATCGCAACAGTTATGCGTGAAAATTGACACTTTATACTTCATAGGCATAGAGTATGAAGTGCCCATTCTCTTATATAACTGTTGTCGACCGCCTGATGATTGTGTGAAAACGCATGAAACTCTTAGCCATGGTCAGTCGTTGTTCACTGGAAATTTAATCTATCTATCTATCTATCTATCTATCTATCTATCTATCTATCTAATTCCCTTTTGCGCCTTCTTTAATAAAAAGTTTTATACTATGCGTGTGTTTGTATAAAGATGACGACTAAACTCTACCTTATATGTCAGCAGTTCTCTAACAATGCAGTTAAACTTTGTTTTCTTCATTTTGTTTTTCGTTTATCTTCATTTATGTGACTGTTCCTTTCAGGACGTATGCGATTATGACTCTCCACAACTTCTAGTCTTTTGTTGCTCTAAGTAACTTTTTACCGTTTGCCATCTCTTTTACCATCCATTCACAGAAACTTAATTAATGTTACTCGCTGTCATCCCTCCACTTTTCCGGTATACCATGTGAGTGTTAAATTCACTAGGCCCTCTTCCCTCATTATGTATTTGAGAAATTCCAACTGTCTCTTTCTGATTGCAAGTAAGTCTGTTCTTTCAGATTTTTTCGTGGCTTACGTATTTTATCTATGGTATTCTCACCATTTTCTGTCGCTTAAAGTATCTTCTTCATCTGCGAAGAGATTGTCCAATTTCTTCTTCTTCTTCTTTAAAGGTCCTCTTGATGGACATAGGCCTTCCCCAGATTTCTTAGGATGAATGGATCATTAACCTACCGCGCTGACCCAATGTATGTTGGTAGGGGGCGGATGTGACACGCTTAGACGATCATTTTCGAACCATAATTGCCCAAGAGTATTTGCGTAAGTAAATGTAATAAACTCGGCTGTAATTCGAACTTGGCCTTTCGATTTATTATTTCGAGCCGTTATCCATTCCACCACGCGCACACCCAAGTTTACAGCACTTGGTATTCCCAAGCGATCAGCCATCTAGGTAGGTACTGACCAGGTTCGACGTTGCTTAACTTTGGTGATCGTACGAGAACCGGCGTTTCAACGTGATATAGCTACAAACTGTCAAGCATTTGCTGCCAAACAAAAGATTACATACAGGTACTGCTTCCTTTTTTTGTTTTGTTTCTAACAGTATTTTCAGATGTTTTAAAACTTTGTTTTCATTTTCGCTATTTCCTTGTGCCTTTGAATTTCTGTGTCACACTTTCCGCAGGCCCGTCACTAAAGTGTTGGGTAGGAGTGTCTGACCCCTTAAAAATTAAAAAAAAAAAAAAAAAATTGAATATGATGTGAACAAATTTAAGTGTGCGAATCTTACTCGCAACCCCCTATCTTAAAGGCCGTCCAACCCTCTGGCGACGGGTCTGATTTTGCTTTGTCTATTGTCTGTAATTGTGCCTTCAGAATGTGATCAATCATGGTTCTCCACAACCTCCTATTCCCCGTGGCCCTTTGTACTGTTTCTCCATTTGCTAAGCCTCTCGACTCCAGATCCGCCATCCATTCACACAAGCTCCTCAGGTAGGTGGCCCACTACCTTCCTCTATCTCTCTTGTCCTCGATATGTCCTGTGAGAATTAATTTTTTAAGTCCTTTTCTTTCATCATTATATATCCAAGAAATTTCAGCTGTCTCTTCTTGGTTCTGAGTATATCCCCATTTTGTTGCCATTTTCTTTAAGACTTCCTCGTAGCTTACTAGCTTCGGACATGGAATACTCAGTATCCTCCTGTATAACCATATTTCTGCTGCTTCCAGTTTCCTCCTCTTCTGTGGTGAGATTGTTTCATTACCATATAAGTGGATTAATATATAGTATCTCAGTACTCTTTTCTTTGTTTCTAACGAGATTTTCCTGTTTCTTAATACTTTTAGTTTTTGGAATACGTTTTTCACTAACCCGATGCGCGTTCGGATTTCGGTGTCTCATTTTCCATCCTCTGTTAAAACATCTCTCACATATTCAAACATCTTGTTTGATGCTAACATCTCCAATCACATCTTGGGCTTTTTCTTTTACTGACAACCGTACATTGTCTTCTTACAACTGATAGTCCTTTCTTTCTGCTTTCCTTTAATATCTTGTCTAGGAGATAGTTTTCCTTCCGTGTCTGCCATCAACACAGTGTCATCTGCGTGTCTTATATTGTTAAGATTGCGCTCACCGACAATAGGTCCTGATAGCGTTTCCGGCTCCCTTAGGATAGCCTCGCTGTAGAGGTTGAATAGATTTGGGGGAGAAGGCACATACTTGTCTTACGCCGGTTTGTTTTCTATTTATTTTATTTATTTCTTTTGTTAAATTTGTTGTAATTTAGGTACTGCGGACGTAACCAGATAAAGATAAGAAAAATCAGGCTAAAGTCTCCGATGGGCGGTATGGAAAATGAATAATAACTATGAAATTACGATCCTCGTTTTAACACAATTATTTTAATAACTATTTATTCTCATTATTTATTGTCTTTTACCGGATTTTTTTAATTGAATACATTTTTCTGTAAAAGTTTGAAGTAAACATACGGTTTTAAGAAATTTCTTGGACACGTAATGAAGAAAGAGGGCCTGGGAAAGGTAACTCTCAGGGGATATTAAGGGCAAGAGAGATAGGTGAAGATAGCGAGCCATGTACCTGACGTGCTTGCTTGAACGAATGGAACGAAAAGCGTGGCAAAGGGAGAAACACTGCTGAGGGCCACAAGGGATAGGAAGTTTTAGAGAGCCATGATCGCACATGTCCTGAAGGGACGCGGCAGAATAAGAAGTATTTTACACACATACGCAAGCACGCGCGTGCGCGCGCACACACACACACACATATATTGACGTCATTCTTGACGGCGAGTAAACAGTACTTACGTTCATAATTTTTTCTAAAAATCAGTGTTATAAAAACTCCGTGGAATTTCCAGCTGGTATAATACGAAAAAACATTCAGTACTAATAATTACGTAAAACAATGTTAAAACTAGAGAAAAACTACATATACTTTCAACAATAACATCTACACTCATACATGTATATATGTGTGTGTTGGTAAGATGTATAATAGTATCCGAAACAAAAGTGATGAGACAAAGGGGAAAATTTTTATCAACAACGTGTTTCGCCGGAGAAAGTGTGTGTTCTCTTTGGCTTCTTCAGTTTGAAAAAAGGCAAAACAGTGTGATGAAAAATGTTTTTGGATACACATACATGTATATGTACGTATATATGTAATCTCTAAAGAATTAATGGATTTTATTTTTTAATCCGACATATTTTATTACTTCAAACGTTATTTCTGGTGGTTACCCGTATTTGAGTAGATGCTCCGTTTTTATTTTAGACAGTAATTATTTCGTCTACCGGTCTGCATACTTGGGAAAACTTATTCAGACAGGATTCGAACGCGCGTCTCCTTTGGTAAGAGAAACAACCCTCTGACCCAGCCCGTGCTTTAACCACTCGGTTACGAAAAACTTCGCAATCAAGCAAGGTTCTATTTTGACTTTAAAGCACACTCACTCTTTCAGATTTTCTTGAAATAGCATATCTGCTCAGTTTCGTATACGAAACGTAAACAAAACAATTTCTAAAGAATTAATGGATTTTATTATTTAAACTGGCATATTTTTTATTACTTGCAAGTATGCAGGCCTGTAGACGAAATAATTATTGTTTAAAATAAAAATGAAGCGTCTTCTCAAATACGGGTATCCACTAAAATAAGGTTTGAAGTAATAAAAATACATATATGTGTGTAAAGAATTAATATAGTTTTATATTTTAATTTTTTATTACTTCAAAGGTTATTATAGTGGACACGTCTTATTTGAAATAGACGATCCATTTTTATTTAGTTTTTAAACAGCATGTAATATGTCTATCGGCCTGCGCATTCGAGAAATCTAAATAAAAGCACACGGATCCAACGGTAGTTTTCTTTATAAAAGGAGGCGCAGGTTCGATCACTGCCGGAGGACACCCTTTCTTTAATTAGTTTTCTCAAATTCACAGGCCGAATGCGCACACTGTTTAATTAAAAAAAAGGGGCGTCTATTTCAAGTAGGAACTGTCCACTATAATAACGTTTAGAAATAGTCGAGTTTGTTCCTCTCTGCTGGTCTGTCTGTCTGTCTATCTATCTATTCTATCAGAACCTCAACAAGAACTAACACGAAATTTTAACACCAATCTACGGAAAGTAATCAACTTGTTTATTTTCAACAACATTTATGTCAGTCAACTTCTCTCTCTCCCTCTTTCTCTCTATCTCTTTCTCTCTCTCTCTCTCTCTCTCTCTCTCTCTCTCTCTCTACTTGTTCAGCTTTCTTAAGATAGTTATCTCATGTAGTGGTCTATTGTCTGTTATTTCCAGTCGACTTAAACAGTTCGATCGTAAATCTTTCGATCCTTGTGTTGACTTTAAAATGATAGAAAAAAAAAAAATTAAATAGAAAAAAAGGAAACTTGTACCTTGGGAAATGATGAGATCTCTATGCTTCTTATTCGTTATACACATCGTATCTAGATCCTTCCGTTCGACAAATCGAAGATCCTTTTCCGAGTCGAAGCCTTTTGCCAAAAACATGTCGTAGTATTGACTCAGTCCAATTTGCTCCAGAAATGTATAAACTCCGCATTTTGGATCGTAAAAATTATCCATTGTTTCTTTGCTTGTCATTACCATACTTTAGTTCTTTTTTTTTTCTTTCTTTTTTTTTCTCAGTTGCTTTCTTTCTGATTTCTTTTTGTTGTTATTTTAAATTTGATATTTTAACTTCTTTTTTTGGCTTGTTGAATTTTTGTTACATCTCACAAATCACGATGAAACAGTTTCGGTTTAAAATTTATTTTATTGAAAGCAGTCTCAAGTCTATTTTCTGTCTTAAGAAATAACATAGATTTCTCAGATGAGTAAATTTTTATACTAATAGAAGACAATGTCCGATGTTTTGTTTTTCTTTTCTTAAAAACAAAACAATTCAAATGATCGCTAACAAACACACAAAAACAAATGAAAGAAAAATCAATTCTTTGAAGTACTTAAGTATTTCTTTTGTTGTATTCCACAATTCATCGAATCCGCTTTTTTGTTTTGTTTAATTTCTCTCTCCAGAGAGGCAACAGGAAAGAACAGATCAATATATATCAACAAATCCCTTGGTAACCGTCCTTTCAGTTGCTACCGCTTTTTATTACAACGTTTTTCTTTACTTCTCTTTAATGTCAGCAGTGATGCATTGTTGTTTGTGTCGTGGGCAATATCACCATTATTACTACTTCAAGACGATTATTCTCTCAATTTTCTTCTATCGCTTTCTTTCGTCCATTATTCTGTTAATTCCTGCTACATCAGCAGTTTATAAAACCCCATTTAAGAATTAAATCCATATTTGTAAACCTAACAGTTATAAAAGTGTTAAAATAGAATTAGTTTTCTCTCATAAGAAACTTTGTTGACTAGTAAGAACATTTGAATGGGGTGCACAATCTGATTACGCAAAAGTAACCTTTGAGGAAAACCGTTTTCCTACTCTGTTCTGTAAGGTACCACATGACTAAAATGCCCCGCTTTCGTTGTCACTCGACTCTTTTAAAATATTGTTGATATATATATATATATATATATATATATATATATATATATATATATATATATATATATATATATAACAAAATTAATGATACTGCTATTGCTACTACTGATAATTGCAATATCGATAGGTTAGAACCCGCTTGTTAGTCCCGCGGACAAGCCTGAACGACGCTGCGTCCTCTCATTAGATTACAACAAAACAGGTTTGAACAAGACGGCTACTTCACACATTTATCGCTTTTCTACACCTGATATGGACTAAGCTCTCTTTTACCACCCTCATAGATCTCTGTTATCCTCACCTTTCTCTCTATTATTTATGCATTTTCTTCTTAAAAAATCTAGCTCATTCATTGGTTGACAGACATATAATATATATTTTTTCTCGCGCTAACGTGACTAGGAAGGGTTTAGCAAGTCGGATTTGCGGTCAGAAGGCTGACGGTTCAATATTTAACATCAGATCGAATGAAGAAGAAAGATTAAAAAAATGTAATGACAGCTTTTAGCTTGTGTTAAGTTTCACAAACTACTTTCAATCTTAAAGTTTTGGGGGTAATTTTCGGAGACGCAGAAATCTATAAGACGAAGTGGAACCTGTATTCTACTCAGAATTTAGAGAAATTAATGAGTATTGATTTGATTTGTAAATAATAGATAAAATTGATAACAGACGAAGTCATGAAATAATATATATATATATATATATATATATATATATATTTTTTATCAGCATATATCAATATATATATATATATATATATACATTCATAACATAAAATATATATATATATATGTGTGTATATATATATCTTTATCTATAAAGGACAAAGTTATGAATGCATACACACACACACACATATATATATATATAGTGATATATATATATATTTCTTTATAGCTATATAATATATATATACACATTCATAACTTTGTCCTTTATATATATACTTTACACGCACACACACACACATATATACATTCATAAGTTTGTCTTTTATAGATAAAGATTTATATATATAGTATCTTTCTCTCTCTTTATCTCTCTCTCTCTACACACACACACACACACACACACACACATATATATATATATATATCGTGTGGTGGAGATATGGTGTAGTAAAGGATAGCAGCTAGAACTGACTTCCAATTCCAGTTGAATTCGTTGCATTCACTAATAGGCAAATACATTTGGGAAAACAGGACGGACAACTTCTCCTAGACCTGTTGCCTTGTGTGCAACAGGTCTAGGAGAAGTACGAATTCAAAAGTTACAAATCACCTCACCAACACGCAATTGTCCATGCGTGGTGAGTATGTCTTTAATACCCCTTGAAAACTTAGTCAATCAGGAATTTTTTTTATATACACATACTTCATAATTTTGTTCTTTATCAACACTTATCAATTATATGATTTAATTAAAAACGAAAGATAATAGATTTTTTTTTATTTTTTAGATAAATTTTCTTGTCTGTGGTCTATTAATGAATACGTATCGATGAAAATGATGCTTGAATAAACATTACACACACACACGTACGTACATAAATACACACAAAATATATATATATATATATATATATATATATATATATATATATATATATATATATATATATATGTCTGTATGGGTGGGTGTGCCTAGATGGATGCATGCTATATAGAAAAGCAGCACTCTCTAACTGAAATTTATGTAAACTAATTTTAATGTACAAATTTTTACTCGCTTTCCTCCTCACCTGAAGGACGCCACATCGTAACTGAAAACATTTTTTAGTGAAAAGAAAAGATATAATGAAATGAAGAAAAGATACAATAGTCAGAAAGAGGTAGAAGAGGAAGGAATGTAAAAGCAAGAAGATTTGAAGACGCAAGTGAAAAGGAAAAATTATTTTTTCTGTCTCTTTCTCTTTCTTTTTCTCTGTATATTCTTTCTCTCGCTTTCTCTCACTCTATATTTTGTTTAGTGGTTGGTATAATTGTATATTACACTACAGTAGCTACAGCCAGTGTTCAATCTTAGGTAAGTGCCAAAACTTCAGGTGTTAATTTTCAACACTTCTGACTCGGAATATTGATGGAAGACAATCCCCTTAACACTCCTTCCCATGACAGACTGAAATAAGTTTAAAGGTCTCTTGCTACTATATATTAACGATAGTGGGTGGGGCAATAGACTACTACTTAGTCTCCAGTTTTAAATAAAATACGTTGCTGGATAGGTGATATTCTTTATCATTAACTTGTCATTCACACAAGTATTACTTATGAGCGCTTGCGACAAAATGATAGTTAACATTAACAAGGTAGTTTCGCTGACACATGTAATGAATTCGATTCTAAAACGGTATCTCCCTGACGAATCTAAACTTCGTAAATATATTCAAGTTTATTTGAAGCTTATTTATCAGATATAAAACTGAGAAATTCATTCTCTGATGTGAAGAAAAATTAATGAAAACTCTTATTCTGAAACAAGCAAATGGCCTTTTGTTTTTAGTGATGTATCTGGGACATTTGTGAAAGTGCACACTAAAATGGCAGCGTAAAAGATGTAACGATTAAGTATGGTAAAAAAAAAGTTATTACTCAACTGGTATTTAGCAACTCTTTGTCACTGTGGACATACTTAGCAACTGATAAGATTATCTATCTATCTATCTATCTATCTATCTATCTATCTATCTATCTATCTATCTGTCTGTCTGTCTGCTGTACTCTGTTCATATCTATCTCTTTATTTTTTGTTTTATTTTCTTTATTTCACAGGTATATATATATATATATATATATATATATGTGTGTGTGTGTAAAATAAACATAATATATATGTATAGAATTAATATAAATTATATATATATGTATAAAATAAGCATAAATTTATATATATATATATATATATATATATATATATAAAATAATCATAAACTGTGTGTGTATATATATATATATATATATATATATATATATATATATATATATATATATATATATATATATATATATATATACGTCTTTTCAAAGTTCCAAGTGTATGCAAAAGTGTGATAGACCAACACAGATTTGCTTGGGCACCGGAGATTCTCTTCTTTAACAGAACCCCTGAAATGACTCAAAAGACTGTTTCATGACATCCCCTAACATCTCCATTTCACATTGTGTTATATTTTCTATCACTGCTAAGTGTGTGTCTCAAACTATAAGTAGTTATTCGCTGTGGTTGCTATGTAGTTTTGATTTTGCGTATAAATTTGTCAGGTTGAATCAATGTATATATTCTTCTTTGTGCACACAGTGCCGAGCACATAATCGGACCCCCCCCCAAAAAAAAAACAACAAACACACTCTTGCATACTTTCATGACAAGCAACGCCATAACAGCCACATGGTTCACTGGTTACTAAGGAAGTGACATATGTTTACTGCAGAAACCAGCAACGCAAGTCTCTTTGTTTGAAGGACTGCACTAGCTCAATAAAATAGAAATACACACACACACACACACACACACACACACACACACACACACACACACACACACACACACACACACACACACACACACACACACACACACACGTACGTACACATGTACAGGGATATAGAATTAAAAAACGTAAAATAAGAAATTAAAATATTTTCAGCAAATAAAGATACATAGATTAAAAAAAGTAGTCATGATATTGAACATATTGCAAGTAAATACTATCTATCTATCTATCTATCTATCTATCTATCTATCTATCTATCTATCTATCTATCTATCTATCTATCTATCTCAGTCCGTATCTAGCTGTCTATCTAAATTTTTGCATTATTTACTTTATTTCACAAACATCTCTTTCTCTCTCTCTCTCTAGCGAAAAAAACATATTTTAAATCAATTAATTTATAATATATATATATATATATATATATATATATATAAAGATAAACTCAATTAGACACAAGGTCAAATTTTACACAATATACCTAATGTGATCAGTCTATTAGCCAGTTCGAAAACTAAATTAATAATGTGTACACGTACATACTATTAAAAATGTAAAAGAAAAAAATTAAAAAAGGATTGCTTCTATGAAACAAAAGTAAAACTGTCTAAAAGAAATATTCCCAAATGTACACACCCCATTTCTTGAAAATAAAATCTCCTTTTCCTATATCAACGGAACAATACTAAAACTCGGCATCGATATTCAAAGAAATTAAAAAGTTTAATTGGTTACTTATTTTAGTACATCATTTTACTTATAATTATCGTCACGTGACGCAAACAATATTTCGTGCATTATTTAAACAAATTAGACATAAATAATCAACCAGGCCTTTTCATAGCCATCCGTCAATGATTATATCATTACCAACTACGACTTTGTATATTTACGTAAGCAGCGAAGTAATCGCTCTAAGTAACTCGTTTCATCGAAATAAGTGATTCGAATTTTGTTGCTTTTAAACTCACATTTTATTCAAACCTTTATCGCTAATTCACACATGATGATGTGCCTTGTGGTCGAAATTGTGACACAGACACTAACTTCTAAGATTTAGAATTCTGATTTTTATTTGTTCAAGTTGATAGACAGTCTATCTATAAAATTCTGTGGCTTCCGCCCGTCCGTCCGTCACACCCTCTAAAATTGCCATACATTGAGCAATCGAAACCAAATTTTAGGGAAAAGGGCAAGTTAAGGGGTTACAAAGTACAGTTGGTTTTACTAGGGCGCGTAGCTTAGTACAATAAATTTTCATTCAGTTTTTGGAAAAATTAAAAGTTTTCTTATTTAATATGCGAAATATAACCACCATTTTAAAAGCAATTTAATGATCAAAATAACAAATACTTATTTAATAAAGATGCAGTATTGTTTTTGCATATCTTTTCTTTTATAAGTTTTTATAAAATAAAGAATATAGTTTCCAATTCGCCCTGCGTTTGCGAAAACTAAACAAATCACAAGGCCAAATACTTTAAAAAGTTTGAATTTGGCTTCGGAAAGAAGTATTTACGCATGGTCAGGTGCATGTTACATGCTCAAGAGTAAGAAATTCTGAGAATTTATTCTTCACTGTTAAAAAGGAAAGAAAGAGATTTTCTTAAAAAATATTGTTTACCATGAAGTCCTAAAAAAATAAATTAAGAAATTAAACTGCAATGTAATGTTTTTGTCAAATTATTTTTCCAAACAAATCAGCTTATTCAAATTTCATAGACTGGTTTGCGAAATTAAACGAAACGTAGAGTTTGTAAATCTCGACAAAAATGTTAGCGGTAACTTCAACAATATTAAATACTGTTAAATTCTAGTTAATGAAATTCCATGACCCTCCAGGACATTAGCGATCATAACTATTCACAGATTCCTTTATGTTATTATCTGCAAATTACCATGCCTTTTTGGGAAAGGTAGCAGAGTGGTTTTCCATTGCCTTCTCCAGAGTTTTTCTTCTCTTAGACTGGTTAACATCCAAGTCGAGAGTACCCAGTCTATGCTAGGGTTGGAGAAGTTACGTACGCGGCAGACTAGTGCACTCGGCGCGCAGATTCCGCTTTTCGTAGTGAGATCACTGACACTATTTGCACATATTGCATATTACGTGGTAATTTCTTGCTGATAAGATATACCTCTCAAAACACAAACATGCTATACTTTAATCATGAAATAATGATTTAACAATACTAAATGCTGTGAGGATTAAACTTTGGACATTCGGTGGTACATATTCTTTCTCGCTCCGTCTCCACTTACGCCTCTGCTAGTAAATGTGTTCACACAGTGAGTAAGGTAGTTGGGTAGGTTATACCGAACTACCTTACTCGTGCCAACTGTCGGTGTTTGAATTTTGGTAAAAGGTGATTTTCTCAGCAGACAGCTCGTTTAGATTGTCTATTTTGTAGAAGGAAGGGCGATGATCTCTAAGATCAATTCATTAATCAGAGTTCATCTCGCACCCGCGCTTTTAGTCTTTTATCATTGTTGTGGATTCCGGGTTGAAATCCGCTAGCAATAAATAACAAACGACAGGAATGAATATATGAAAATAATGTATTAACGTAATAATACATACTGGTAAAGCAGGTTAGTAGTTCCAGGAATACGGGTTAGTAGGAAGATATATATACAATCTTTGGTATCGACGTATCACTGTATGACTTCTTACTGAGTCTACGCGCTTGCTCACTGTGACTCCTACAACGCTGTTACCTCACCTTCACTTTCGTACTTAGATCTCCTGTGTATTCACTAGCAGTGGTATATGTATACCCTGGGTGAGTCCATTTGTGCAAAAAAGGGGTGGACCCCTCAATAATCATCATACTAAGTTATCAATAAATGTCAATACACACACACACACACACTCACACACACACACACACACACACACACACACACACACACACAAACTTATATATATATATATATGTATGTTGCGATGGGTAAATTCTCGCCATTTCATATTTCTAATTTCGCGCATGCGCGTTGTTTGTTTATGATTTTGTCAACTGCATAGTATAGTAGGGTCAGTTGGGTACCGTCTCTGATAAAAAGAGCAGCATGATGCAATTCAATCCGCTGGAAATTTGGGAACGACATGCTGTACTGCTTAGCATTCGCACCGGAAGCTCCAATACGAACATTTCAGAGTGTTTGAGCGTCGGTCTGAGAACAGTGCAGAGGTTTCGGAAAGAGTTGGAAGATATATCCAGTCAACATCATATTGTTTGGAGTGATTGCTAGTGATGGCGACATTATGCCTCCACTTATCTTCCCACAGGGCCTCAGACTCAACACGACGGCCTACATCAAGTGCCTTAAGGAGGTAGTGCTGCCCTGGGTCAAGAGGGTGACTGCTGGATGACCCTATATCTGGCAACAGAACTGCACCATGCCACACAAGCAGGAGAACTCAGACTGCAACCCCCTTGATTATTATGCGTGGGGTGCATTTGAGCGAGAGACCAACAATACTCCTTGTAACACGAAAGATGAACTGAAAGCAAGGATTATGGCAACATTCACCAACAGACCGTCCAGAAGAGATGCAAGAGATTCCGAAGTCGTCTGGAGGCCGTGGTTTAAGTCAATGGCAATTTTATTGAATAAATTTACTCTTTAGTATTTCATGATATTTTTGGATGATTGTGGTAAATATAGCTGTTAAAATGAGATGCTAGTATTATTTTCATTTGTGCGTAATTTAGACGAAAATTTATCCATTGTACCTCTCTCTCTCTCTCACACACACACACACACACACACACACACACATATATATATATATATATATATATATATTACTAAACTCGGGTTGTCGCCAACATAAAGGAGGAAGGTCCAAGATCAGGCAAAGCTTGCATCTGTATTGTGTAATTTATCCCACCCCGTATATCTATCTATCTATCTATCTATCTATCTATCTATCTATCTATCTATCTATCTATATATATATATATATATATATTTATATATATATATATATATGATAGATAGATAGTCTAGTTACCTTAAGATGACGAGAGCGTGATAACTTGAGTAGAGACTCGAGCTGTCTTTTGTTGACGTTGTGATGCGTCTTTTGCACTGTCTCGACATTCGAGGCATTTACATCGTTTGTCTTTTGGTCTTTTTTCCTTTTTCTTTTCCTTGTTCAGGATTTTTCTTAGGTTTTAGGTCTTTTGGCAAATTGTCTGTTGGTCACACTAACACTGTTTGGTCCTTTATTATGTCGGTGGAAATTGGATCGGGCTAGTCGGGCTGAACATGCATAGTCTAACAGCCAAGTGTATTTGTTTCAAAGCAGCAAACAGTTCTCAGTTTGACCCTGATTTAGGTTCTCGAAGTCGTAACATATGCCATCAAGAATAAAACAATCTCGAATTGGTTTACTTTAATATTTTTCATAGTCTTAACTTGATATTCTAGAATGTTGACTTAAATAAATTTTGCTGAAAATGTTCGTAAGAAGGTTACATGAAAAAAAGCATTAATATGGGGCTAGAAATTGAAGAAAATGATTACGGAGACTCCGATAAGGCAAAAAAAAAAAAAAATTACTTCCAATACCTTGAATCAGACGGACAGATTTCTTGCTGAACTATCAAATATAACCTTTAAAAATCTCAAATGATACTTTTTTGTTTCATCTTCAGATCTTAAAATTTTCAGTTCGAATTCATTTTTTTTTTTTTTGGGGTTCATTCTCGTGATGTTAGATGTGGTAAAAAATAACTGGGTGAAAAAGAAAAATTCTAAAGGTGTGTATGTGTCTGTGTTGTCGCGATTCGGTCAGACAAAGAATAGGGAAATCTTCTGTGTCGTATCCCTCATCGTGGCTCCTTGACTTCATGTCCTTTGTAGCTCTAGTAAGTTTTGCTTTTCCTATCTTTCCTCAGCCTTATTCTGCTGACAATTTACACAAGCGCGTTAGGTAGGTGATTAGCTGTTTTCCACTGTCCCACTTACCTTCAGTATGTTCTGTGAGTGCCAACTCCTTCAAATCCTCTTTCCTTGTTATGTACCCAATAAATTTCAATTGTTTCTTTCTGATTCTAAATATAAGTTTCCTTTTTGTTTCCATTTTCTCTAAAACTTTGTTGATGATCACATATTCAGTTCATGGTATTCTCGGAATTTTTCTGTAGAGCCACATTTCTGTTGCCTCAAGTCTCTTCTTCATTTGTAAGGAGATTCTTCCGTATTTATTGGCACAAAGAAGGATTGAGATTGCATAACAGCTTAGTACTATTTTCTTTGTTTCTAACGAAATATTCCTGTTTCTTAATACTTAGCTTTTGGAAGACATCTTTTGGTATTCCAGTTTCAATGATACATCAGAAACTCACAGAAAACTTCTTGTT